TTCATGCAGTACTGTTTGTACTGAACTAGAGTCCATCCAGGTGTCGCTCACCGGGGACCAGGGTAGTAAAATATGATGTTGGCTTACTACTCATATGATCAGTTGAACCAGGGGTTCCAAAACATTCTCACTTCACGATACCTTTAGGGTCTCAACCATTTTTTCATGGTGCTCCTGGGCCAAAAGAAATGGATAACAGTACTGGTTAGCTATTCTGTTCTGACATTAAGTAGTTAGGTATTTATTTTTAATAACTTACTTAGGTTCTGTCTGAAGAAAATAACACACAAATTGGAGGAGAAAATAATTCTTCAATTCATTGTTAATCATTATTTATTAAAGGGATGTGTGTACCTGTTGGACACTGTACAACTTCTCAAATGTTGGGGTCAGATTGGGCACTGCACCCTTATGCTTTGTTTCACCTTGATTTTCATGCAGTACTTGGTTGTCACTACAAGTGCTGAGAATACAGTTTCGCAAAGATATGATGTTATGAAAAGGAACGTAGCACAGTCTCATACTGGAACTGTGAACTATCTCAAGCTAGCCGTTCACATGGTGCCTGACAGATGTTAACTATCACTGTTTCCCTAAAAAATGGAGACTATTCCATAGCACCCTTATGTGTTCCCTGCAGCTTCCCAGAGCACCTTGGTGTACAGTTTGGAACCACAGGGTTAGATATATACAAGACAACATGAATAAGTCTTCAAAACAGTGCTGGATTTTTAAAAGTACTTAAACTGTCACAGATTGAATATGTCCCTCCAAAATTCATTGAAGCCATAACCCTCAATGTGATTTATCAGGAGGTGAGAGCTTTGGAGGTAATTAGATTTAGATTAGGTCAGGAGGGTGGGGGCCCTCAGGATTGGACTAGTGTATTTTTAAGAAAAGGAAAAAAACATGAGTGAGAGTTCCCTCTCCCCACGTGCACACACCAAGGTAAGGCCATGTGAACATACAGTGAGAAGGTGACTCTATCCAAGCTAGGAAAAGAGCCCTTACTAGGACCTAAATTCACCAGTACTTTGCTTAACCTTAGAATTCCCAGCCTCCAGAACTGTGAGAAATAAATGTCTGTTGTTTAAGCCACCTAGTCAATGGTATTTGTCATAGCAGCTCAAGCTGACTAAGACACAAAGCTCAGTCTATGGGGCTCCACTGAGTCACACTATTGCTGAGGTTTCAGTGGCCTACCCATTCACTCCTAGATTTGAGGGACAGGTATCTAAGCAGCATTTGACCCTGTCAGAAGTCCTACTTCCCAGGAAGGTTTTAGTGGTTTCCACTATCTGCCCCTCTCTCTATGGTCTCTTCCTGTGTCTTTGACTTGTTCTTCACAGCTCCCTTTGGGGGGTCTCCATCTGCCCTACAGTGCTCTTTCTGCACAATCTAACCCACTCCGATTGGGGGCTGATAACTCCTGCCAAAACACAAAATTACAACAAATTTAGTTTAAAGAGTTTAACTGGCTTTTGTGATTCTAGAATTTGGCAACATCTCCTTCTATTGTGTGGATGAACTGAGCAGAGGAGTTTGGTTTTAGATACAGAAAAGGGCTGAGGAAAGCAGAAACAAAAACAAAAAATGGATTGATTGTTTCAAAGTTACTTTCTTCATAGGGTTAAATCAGAGGGGATTTCCTAGTCATGCTAGCTAAAACTGGTTTATTTCGGGATTTGGCTATTATGTCTCTCCCAATTTCTTGGAAGGTCAGATAAGCAACTAGTTTTAGTTTGGTGGCATGGAACTTCAACATAAGAGATTCTATTTTGGTTTGGTCTGTTGGGCCTAGTAAAGGAGCTCAGTCCAAATCAGTGGCCTCTTAGAAATGCTATTTAACACTCCCAAATCATTGTTTTCAACCCAGATAATTTTCCTGAGCTGGGGGCCACATAGCCAATGGTTTGCTCACATCTTTACTCAGACGTCCTACAGGCGTCCCCAACCTATCATGTCTTGCCTATGTTCAGGATCTTCCCTCAGCTGGCTTCTCCTCCCATGTCTCCTAACTAAGAGAATGGAACCACCCTCCTTCTGGTAGTGATAGGCCTGTGACAAACTGCGCTGATAGCCCAAGTTCTTCACTCCTCCCTGCATTCACACCCTTGCTATGGCCTTACCTCACACTTGACTTGGGCCTGGCCACAGGACCTACTCTGGTCAGTGACACAGAGGTGGAAGTGCCATATCCCAGCTCTGAGCCCAGCCTTCAGAGGCCTCACACATTTGCCCATGCCCTCGTCTGCTCTGCTGCTCTTGCATGCCCCAGACACCCTGCTTGTTCTGGGAGAAGGATGATCGACTCATGGAGCAGAGTAAATCTGCTGACCCCTGGTTGACCTACTGACATATGATTGACAATAAAAGATTGTTGTTTTAAGCCACTGAGTGAGGAGGTGTTTTGTCATGCAGCAATAGTTGAACAGCCAGCTTGCCTAAGCCAGAAACCCGGGCATTCCCTTTGACTCCTTCTCTCCATCCATGGCATGCCCAGAACATCTTGAGTACCGACTTCTCTCCATTCCCAGGCTTCTGCCCCAGTTCAGGCCTCCTGCAATCACATTCTAAGAATTTTCCCATGTCCTCCGTTGCCCCCTTTCTCCATTCAACATCCTGAATGATCTTCCTAATGTGGAAATCTGATCAAGAACTCCTCTCTGGTGGATCTACTTTTCTCTCAGGCTGGGATATCCGTTATGGCCTGGGTAAGGGAAGAAGCTCTGCTGGGGACTGTGTGCAAGCTGGCTACTGAGAAGAGGCATCTCCAGGAAGTTTCTGCTTCGTAGCTAAGTCAGTGAGTCCTTAACAAGTCCTGTGCAAGGAGCTGGGTTCAAGCTTGGTGCATGACAAACAGAAGACGAGCTTCAGGCTATGGGGATCCCAGCCAGGCAGTGCAGACCAGTAGTTTCCCCGCAACTCCTCTACTACAGGGTGTGCCTTTTCAGGGCATCAACAGGGAGTACAACTTGAGAAGCATTGACAACTTGGAATTAAGATATCTGTCTTCATTTCTTGGTATTGGATCAGATTGAAACTGGCCCAACTTCTCCATAGAACTAATGGTTATCTTTTTTTTAAAATAAGCATAGAAATTAACCCTCCTGGTCTTAAAGCTTAACATTTACTTTTGTTTTATCTGAGTTTTTTACTCAGAAACCTACTCTAAGACCTGTAGTTTCAAGGAACTGAAATTAACCAGAGCACTGCATTCAATGAGATGACAGATCCCCCCTGTTTACCAACTCCTCTTCCTTATCCCTTCCCAATTTCTGTTTTCTACATTCCTGCCCCTGACTCTTGAAATGGAATCCCTCATTCTCCTCAGTTCGTATCACCTGAATAAAAAGCCTTCTCCCTGGCAATACTCGTCTCAGTGGCATTCTGTGCTGTGACCAACAGGACCACGACCAAACCCCTGGCATTTTGGTAGCAAGATCAGCAGTCTCTTTATTTAGACAAATGCGCTCTCAGTCCTCCAGTCTTCTCTGTAGCCACAGTGAAAGGTTGTTACATGCAAAGAGAGATGAATCACCAAAATGGGATAGGTGACCATAAAAAAAAAAGCCCTCCTGAACAAGACAAGTTCTCCCTGTGAGATAGCTTGAGAAAGCCAGTGACTTTGGCCCTTAGGAGACATTCATATATTGCCATAGGCCTTCTCAAAAGACTGCCTACTGAATCACTCCAACATAATTATCTTATTTAATGTTATTCTGGGGTCAAACTTGATGGCTTTGGGCCCAGCTCTGCTACTGATTTTGGGACCTTGGGCCATGTTAATTATCTTCTGTATGCTTCAGTTTCTCATTTTGTAAAATGAGAATGGTTATTTATGCAAAGTTCAAAGTGAGTCTGTGTTGATAGACATCAGAATAGCAATTACTTTAGGGGGTTACTAACTGAGAAGGGTCATTAGGGAAACTTCTGGAGTGGTGGAAATGTTCTGTCTTGATCTCAGTAGTGTTTTATAAGGGTCTATTACATACATTTTTTAAAAGCCACTAAGCACTTAAGATTAGCATATTTCATAAACTTTGCTGTATTTTATGCCTTAATTTATGAGTTTTTAAAAATGGAGATAATAGCCGGGCTCGGTGGCACAGACTGTAATCCCGTGCCTTTGGGAGGCTGAGGTGTGTGGATTGCCTGAGCCCGCGGGTTCGAGACCCGCCTGGGCAGGGAGACCTCATCTCTACAATAAATCAAAAAATCAGCCGGGTGTGGTAGCGCATGCCTGTAGTTCCAGCTACTCGGAAGGCTGAGGCGGAAGGA